CTGCTGATATTATGTACCTTCTTGACAGCTTCAAATTCTTCATCAGAAGCTGCAGTTCCTATTCTGTCCCCTCTTGGCCACAATTCTGGTATCTCAACTGCAGAAATAATATCATCACAAAAATAGTCAATAAATAGCATCATATAATTATAGTGTAATTTTCATAGAAGGATAGAAAAGTAGGGTTGGAAGGGACCTCAGGAGTCCCCCTACTCAAGGCAGGATAACTAAAACAACCCAGTCCAGTTTCTGTCTCACCTACACTTAAAAACGTTCAAGAATGGAGATTCCACAACCTCTCTAAGTAGCCGGTTCCCTCAGAGTCAGAAAGTTCTTCCTAATATCCAACCTGGTCCAGATTAAGCAAAAAATATTTAGAATAACAGAAGTGATAATACCATTTTTTGCTCAGAGGAATGCTACTCTAGGAATTTGATCCTTTAATATGCATACCTACCTATGCCAAACAAATATGTATGACATTATTTCTATTGACAAAAATAGTGATTCCACTTTAATTATTTCAAATATTATTCTTTTTAAAACACCTTGTTCTCCTGCACTCCTTGGGAACCATATATAGTTGTGCCTTGTGCAACCACAGAATGCTTCTTGGCAGCAGAACCAGGGCATCTTTCCCAAACAAGGGGATGCTATACAGATGAGCATGGAGGAAAGCATCATATTCTGCACAGCACAGAACCTGCACAAGTTATCAGCATGGCACTAGCAAGGGAAAGGAGAGAATGGAACAAGGATGGGGAAGCAAACTGGTGGTGTTGGAACATTTGCTCCTACCACATTCTTCCATGGCAGAAAAGTTACATAGAGAGATCAGGGCGCTCCCTCTTTCTTTTTCTTGAAATAGCTCTAGAGCAGTAATGCCCAACTCATCTGGGAACCATAGGAAATAATGCTGTCACTGCTCCCCTGTGTCTTGGTCACACCTGCTCGAGTCTAGAGCCATCTGAGGCAAGAGGAATAATACAATTACTTCTACTATACATATAGCCTGGATTATCTAGCCGGTTGCTCGATTCTGGATTTAATCCTCTATGACAGATTTTTCCCCTCAGAAACCAGGAAGTGTATCCTTCTTTAGACTATATTTCATTAAATACACATAGCACCATTGGGTAATGGATGTTAATATGAGATTAAAAAAACAATGAAAATCAACAGTTGTATCCCCAACCATTCACAGCCTCAGTCACACCTCATCCTGATACTGTTTTGTTATTCCCAGAAGTGCTAAAGTGGTATTTCCAGGTGTGAGATTATTTTAGCTGCTAACCCCACAGTGCCTGAAATTAAATCATTCTGTCTTCTATTAAAAAAAAAGTCATATTTAACTTTCTCCTCTGGATATCACATTAGCAGTACAATTTAACAGGCAAAAGTTCTTCCACTGTGACATCTGGAGACCTTTCAGATATTAATTCATTAATTACCTCGTTTCAAGCATGCTGCCTGAACAGATATACGGGGAGCACAATTTCCAGCAAAGAAAGATGTGTTTACTTCAAATCCATGGATAGTGCCTGGTACTCCCAACTGGATAATGCACCAATCATGTCCTGAGGGATAAGAAAACAAATGGCTTTTCTAATAAGTGTCATGTGTAACTAAGAAATAAAAGGGCTAGTTCACTTGGACATTCAGAGAATACAATCATTCTTGGTATCTAAATGACACTAAGAGTTTGACCAAACTCCAGTCTTTAGATCCAGTCTTCATTGATACCAAAGTTGGGAGACATTAAGATACTTTTTTGCATAACTGTAGGCTCTGAAATAAAAATTAAGTTACAGATCTGTGTAAAGCAATCAACAAACTGCAACACATTTCAGTTTATTTTTGGAGGACTATGCATACAATTAAAATAAAAAATTATTTAAAGACACATAAGGTGTATTTGACCAAACATGAAGAGCACCTACTTTCTGGTCATTGGAGTAGCTTTCTGAAAAGCACTGGATGTTGTGTGTAAAAATAATGTATTTTCCAGTTAACACTCTTCCTAGAAAGAATTATTCCAAACAATTTTGACTATGTTTGTCTCATCTCAAAATATAGAGATGTATATGCATTAAAGAGAAAAGATGAGCTCCACCATTTTTTTGAATGTGGCATCACCCCTGGTTGAGAACCACTGCTCTACTGCCTCCAGTTACTTTAGTGCTTCACAGCCAGGTATTTCTGCCTCCAAAACAAAGTTGCCCCATGTGCCTGCTGCACAGCTAGCTTGGAAGGGCTGTGGCATGTGTGCACATTTCTGCTGCATTAGGGTTGGATTCAGGCTAAAGCAGGCAGGAGATGCCTGTTTATGCTGTGTAGCCCTTCTTGGCCTGGCCCTCCTGCACTCCTCCCAGAAAAGAGATGCATGGGTGGAACTGTCCCTTGGCTGTATCTGGAAGGAACATGGGAGAGGCCCAACTGGAAAAGGCTACAGCCATGTCAGCTCCTGCCTGCTAGGCTAATCACAGCTCTAATGCAGCAGGTGTGCACACAGGGCAGTTTGAACTGGCTGCTGCTAGAGTAGCAGCACCTGCATCACAGCACCCCAGATGGGGGCTTGTGGCACCCCAGCTTAGTGCACAACTCTGGTTGAGAACCATTGGTCTAGTACTTGCCAGTTCAAATCAAAATACAGGCTTGGCAGTGTTACGCTTGCCAGCACCACAACTGAATGAGACCTGGGTGTTGTCATAGACAATAAAATGAACAGGAGCCACCAATGTGATGCCATGGCTGCCAGAGCTAATCAAACATTGACATGCATCTACAGAGGCATCTCAAGCAGGGCTAAGGATGTCATCCTCCCTCTCTACTCAGCCTTGGTGAGATTGGAGCTGGAGTATTGCATCCAGTTCTGGGCGCTGCACTTCAGGAAGGATGTGAAGAAGCTCGAGACAGTCTAAAGGAGGGCCATGCACATGATTAAAGGCCTTGAGATCAGGTCATACAAGGAGAGGCTGAAAGACTTGGGACTGTTCAGCCTGGAGAAGAGAAGACTCAGAGGACTTTGTAGCAGCCTATAAGTATGTCAGAAGCATATATCAGGCATACACCCGATGAGTAAGGTCCCTCCCAGCCCCTAACAACTATGAAACCATGAAAACAAAATAGCTGTTCATGACACGGCTCATCACAGAATAGGCATTTCCAAATTCCCATGAAGTCTGTAAGCCATTTCTGGAGGTTTTTCACATTAATTTTATCTACCAATGAAAATCCTACTGTTCTGTAGGGCTTTGCAAAAAGTGAAGGTCTGGAAATACATAGATCTGACAAACTCAAGACTGTCATTGCTGTCCATCTGATAGTCAATACTCCAAAACTTCCATCAGGAGTTTCTGGCTCATTCAAATTAAGCCATTACAAATTAACCACCCTTAAAACTGGAAGGTGTAGTAATAAAGTGAGCCAATTTCATCCCTTCTTTCCACCAATTGTCAATGTTTTTTTGTGGTCTGAAAATCCCTTGCTGTTATTAGGTATTAACTGACTAGTATTTACTGTTATTACCTGGAGTCCTTTTCCTCCTTGTCTCCCATCCATCCATCCACTTGCCATATGCAGTAAATGTATCTACTTTGAATTCTGGATTCTGTTTCTGAAAAATAAGCACAAGCTTATTCTGCTTGCAGTCATTTATCCATACAACTGTTGACTTTAGCATACTGAAAACAGATTTGTGTCCAGCATTTAACATGCAAGTTTCAAGCCCCAAAGCTGATGCTAATAGAAAAGGTATATAATATATGCCATTCTAATCTAGAAAAAATAGCACTGAAAAATTATAAGCTGTATTAGTCAATGGATTTATGCTGACCACCTAAGGATATTGCCTTCAATTGTACTAAAATTTTCTTCTGATTAGGCAAATACTTTAAATCCTTGGTAACTGATTTCAGTGGTATTTTTACATGTGGAATGACTGTAGAACCATTTATTTAGATTACAGTTTTTGCTGTGTAAATAAAACATTATAAATTCTAATCGGAGCTAAAATTTATTTTAAGGTTTCTTCCTCACAAAAGATGCACTTGGAAAAGAATATCTCTAAAGAAGCCTTGAAGTCATTACTTACTGGTTGATGGAAGGAAATATAGTTGTAAGGGAAATATCCCACTTGATTCACTGAAATAGTTTTGACTGTACTGTTATGCCTGAAAGGTGCTAATGTGTAATCAGAATACAGAAGCTGTTATTATTGCAGTAATGAGCCAGCAATTGAATTAAATCAGTAATCAAGAATCAAAACATTTGGTAATCATAATCAAGCCTATGCAAATGCTTCCTTTATCCAAAAGAGCAACAAACACAGGGCACAAGATGCCTGAGTGCCAATTTGGATACCATCATTATAACCAATTGGTTCACCCTATACCTATTTTCCAGAGACTTTGCACAGATGTAACTGATTTAATGATGCAAAATATAGTGGAGAAACAGATCCTTTGGGTTTAGATATAGCCTACAAGCTATCATATTAAACCTAGTGTTTTTAGCATTTATTTATATTAAAAACAAAAACACAAATCCTTTCATGTTCATGGTTGATCAGAAATTTTCCAAAAAAACAGTTTTCTGTCAGAAAGTGCCAACCCCACTGCAAAGTAATTAACAGTCCCCAAAACAAAAAGTCCATGAAAACTTGTCAGATAGCTGATTGCTTCCCTACTGTACCTTTAAAAGGTTGTCTGCAGGAGCAAAAAAGTCATCTGTTGCAAATAAAACCTATGTAGAAAATAAAAACATTTTTATTTCATAGTGAAACGTACCAAGGAATTAAACAAAAAGAACATATTTACTTGCCAACGGCGTACAAAATGATATTTAAAAAGTCCTTATATTTCTTTGTATGTGTGTCTTTCATTAGGTTCTAATCCTGCAATAATCCTCTACAGAGCCCCACTGAATTCAATTGTTCTTTGGAGGCTCAAATTGCTGCTGTCACAGGGGGCGTGTAGACGCTGCACCCGGGGATAGTTTACTCTGGTTCCAACTGCTCTGGCATTTATTGCTTTGAATTAATTGCATGTGTAGATGCACCCACTGGCATTAAACTAAATCATGCAGCCAATGATAGGTTTCAGTTTGTATCTGAGGACATTTTTCTTTAAAATAATTTATCATCTTAGACTTTGCAATCTTCACACATGAAACTGAACTGCTCTTAAAGAGATCGAGTCTATCTTCTCTATTACATAAAAGCTTATCTATGTCAATTTAGAGAAGTAAAAGTTAAAGAGTGCCAATAATCTGGTTGGCAGTGACCCCAGTACATAGTATTCCTGTCCTGAACATGAATATTCTACAGGTTTCCCTTGCTTTATGCTGTACATGTGTTCCTGGAAAATGATGCATAACTCGAATTCACATAAAGTAAACCCACTTTACAATGTAACAAATAGGGATATGTTCCAAAACCTCGACTGTACTGACCCCCAGATCCATTTGTACTACTTTTACAAGACAATTTTGGTACTCACCAACAGCAGACAGTACACACAAGCACAGGGTGGTGGTGAATGGTACCATAATGGGGATGGAAACTACAGAAACATGTGTCGCAGACAACAAGCGAGGAACACAGATCCACACAGGAGACTATATTTTGGTGCACATCACTCCCATAATGCACTGTACAAAGCAGCTGACTGTGGGCTTCCACCACACCAATTACATAAGAGTGAATTTACATTGCATATAAAGAATTTTTGGTCTAAAAAGGGCCATCATATAAGAGTGAATTCGCACATACAGAACCTGCATAAAGTGAGGAAAACCTGTACTTAATGGTTTGTATAAATTTTCCTTTGCAGGGCCAGGGGTCCAACAGACCAGTGTTGACCAACCTTTTTGGCAAGTGTGTCACAAGTTAAGTCTAAAGTATAAGATAGTGCCACTTTAATAATCAGCCAGAGCCATTGCCCAGTGCTGTTGAATCTCACCACTACCAGAACATGGCAACACTGAATTTGGTAGCATCTACCCCTATAGCTCCTGCAGGACCAAACCCTCAAGCTAGCATTGACTCCCAACTCCTGCTCCTTCCCCAACTGCTTCTCTGAGCCCCTCCCCCTCTCCAAGTACTGCTCCATTTCCCTCCCCTTAATTTTAGGCATTGTGACACCTAGCTGGAAAAGCCTACAAGATCACTTTGGACCTGGTCTTGAGAACCAACAGAATGCTCCATAAATTTTCTTGGGTAGACTAGATTAGGGAACAATATCTATACTGTACTGCCACTGCTACATACAGATTTTTTCAGGGGCATCGGCTTTGTGACTGTTTCATGTGGCCCTATATTTATATTCCTTTCAGTATTTTAAATAGCTTTACATAGTATTTAACAAGCAATTCAATTTCAAGTTGCATCACTTATAAAATTCTTATCTGAAAGTAGCAGCTGCCAGCTACTCACTTCATTATCAGGTATTAACTTTGCTGGAATTGCTATTTTTCCAAGTTTATAAATGACTTTCCAACACACCATAAAAACAAGCCCTCTTTTCTCCCATGACCTATATGTAATAATACAACCTCTCTTCTTTCATGCCAAAGAGGGTTGTATGGGGCTTTATAACACAAAGAAATTCGAGGGTATATGGGCATATATTTTTCCTCCTCCATATTAAAATAGTATTTTTGATGGCATACAGCACCATTCATTTGAAAGGATCCCCAAATCTTTTACAAACAGTCTATACTAACATAAAGCAAATAGAAATGAAATGTAAAACTCAGGCAACCTGAGGAAGATGTTGCCAAGTAACTGTGAGTTCTTCTTTTGTGTATCAGTAGACCTAGCAGACTGGATCTTGGCTCCCAAATTTTCAAAAAAACAGTAAATTGAGATTTGTATTAGTAGGCCTGCAGCTTTAATAGGTCAGCAGCATTTCTCAGAATATTAAGGAAAAATCTTGTGGTGAGAGGGTCAGGAAGCTAAACAAGAGTCCTGGGAACTGCTCCTGGCTGTTCCAGACTTTTGGGTAACCCTTAGCAAATATCTTAATTTTCTTGTGTTTCATTTTTCCCCATCTGTAAAATATGGATAATTATGCTTAAAGTGTAGGGATGCTGAGAAGCTTAATTCATTAGTGTTTGCAAAACCTTTTAGATCTTCAACTGGAAATAGCTGCAGAAGTACCAAGTACAATCTGCATCTAAACCATACATTGTTAATTGTATTACATTTACCTTTCCTCCCATAGTTTTGCAGGCCAAATCATTCAGATTCAGAAAGTCAGGTAAAACCTGAGTTTTTTCTTCTTTGATATGAGCAGCCATCTTCCCTGTAATAGCAGAAGCAGAAGTCTGGGATCCTGTTCTTAAGAAGAAATGAGAAATATAAAGAAAAGCACATTTAGCATCACTTCTCATTACATGAATTCTCTCCTGGCTTCTCAGCAATCAGGAAAAATTCCAGGAATGGGTTGAAAGAAAAGCAAGCACATACATAGTCAGGATTAATTTACAATTTATAATGATTTGCAATATGCTCAAATTTGGGATAAACAAAAGTATTAATTAGTCAGTTAGACCAGGTTAAAATGAAGAAAATACATTTCTTAAGAAAGATAGATATATAGAGATATAGATAGATAGATATCTATATCGATATCGATATTGATATCGATATAGATAACTTAGGAAAATATATCTCAAAAGTTTTAAATGTATTTTTAAATTCATAGATTATAGTACCAACAGTTACATTTTAGTAATAATCCACATTATTTTTAGTATCAGTGCTAGTGCTCTTTGCTCAAAATGGGTGCTGTGCAAATAAAAAAGAGGTCAGAATCCCAGCCTTCAAGAATTATAAATGGTCCAGACATATCCCAATGTGTCTTTTTTTTTTATAGTGGGGAGAAACCTAGGACAAGTCATACTACTTGTGATGTCTCCTGAGATAGGGTTGTGAATGGGAGCAATGTGAGTAAAACATGTAGATGTAGCCAGGGTGGTTAGTGAATGTACAGCTGCTACACAGCCTTTAGTCAATAGGATTCCAACAGAGCCCTGGCACTGACTTAAGGCTCCAGATGGTGCAGTTGTCCCAAGCTGCACCATCTGCCCTTTCCCAAGCTGGGGTCCTTGCAGGTTCCAGGGAACTTTAATCTATGGTCTAAGCCTTCATTTGGTCTGTAGTCACTGGTGAGCCTGTGGGGACCTGACCCTCAATTTGACAGCATTTACCTATTTGTCTGTGTGCAATGTGATATCCTTGCAGCACTGCATCCAAGCAGCTCAAAAATGGCAGGGCTAAATAGCAAGAATCCTACTGGTATGAAGGTAAATCAGGGAGATGGGGAGAGAATGGAGAATGCATGGAACCTCTGATGTCTGTTTAAAAAAGCCACAAATTCCAGCATCTCTGTAATAGGTCAGTTCACCGGTTGATAACACCATATTAGGCTTTCAGAAATAACAGTACTCATTTCATGTCTACTCACCTTCTGCACACAGCTGACACCAGAAGTTACTTTGTTCTCCTGCAGAAAGAAGACTGAGGGCAAGCGATGGGGGACAAGGTAGGAAATGGGGCAGGGGCATACACACACTGCTTCTGCCACAGAAGCCAGAATAGGGGCTCCTAGTAACAAATATCTTCTGGGGGAGAAATGGGGAGTACCTGACATGGAGAAGCAGGGAAAAGGGACACAATGTTCCTAGCATGGAGAGAAGGGAAGAATACAGGGCAGACAATCTCTGATATGGAGATGTACACACACCCTTAGTATGCTAGACATGAGTGACTGGGAGGGGAGAGTGGAGAATGGCACATGCATAACTCCTGCCTTGGATGAGGATGAAGGGGATGAAGGACTTTGGAGTGGGGAAGGCCACTGAGGGTGCACAGAGCCCCAGGCATGTGGGAGATGATGGGAAAAGTTACTGGGAATCTGTGGCATAAAGACAGTCATTGGGAACTGTTCACAGAAGCTTGTCATGAGGAATGGAGGGGCACAAGGAGCCTCTAGTGTGTGCAGCAAGTTTGAGCAACAGAAGTTACAAAGGTATACAATGCCCTCATTCAAAGAAGCCTACAGGTCTGCAGGGCTCCAGAACATGGAGGTGCAATGGACACAACTGCGCAGATGCTTCATGTTCTAACCGGGACAGGGAATGGCCTGCAGGTTGGGCCACTCATTTCCCTAGAGCCCCCCTATGTGTGTGTCTTCTGCATTGTTCATGTCTAACAAGCCATTAAGTCTTCAGGGCAGGGGCTCCATCTCAAACTGTTGTGTAAGTCAGTGGGTATCTCTATAGAATAATAAATATGGTCCCCCTTGAGAACATCTGCACCACTGGGGAATTTCTGGAGACAGCCTGCACTAACAATAAATGATCCATTTTATTCATTTACAAAAATAGTATCTATTGTCTTCATATTTACTGCAGAATGGAGTAGCCAAGATGGATAGGAAAGAGGAGACCAGAGAGAGAAGCATATTACAGCCTGAATGGTTACCTAGGGACTCATTTCAGAAATCAAAAGTGTCTTGACCACCTCCTCCTGAATATCTAGAGATCCCTAGCAGTGCAAAGCTGATGTGATTCTACCACACAGAGGGGCAGAAGATTTACTGAGTCTGCTCACGAGGCTTGCATCTACCTCTAGGTCAGACATCATCTCCACAGTAGCTCCCTGGGCCTGTTTATAGCACATAGTTTGGACCTGAGAAAGAGGAGGGGGCAGTTATCCATGAGCCTCAGAGACCCAAGTCGCTCTCTTCTTGGCAAGGTCAGAAGAGAATATTTTGTTACTAGCCCTGTGACCTGAAAGTGGAAGATTTTGTCCTCACCCCATACTGAACCCTACCTACTCTACTGGTTTAACATAGGAAAAAGTGGTGTCCTGAATATACTATCTACTAATTAGCATATTTTTCCATATCATAGCCTTTTGATAGTTGCTTTAAGCTTTTTTTATGCCCCAACCAGGTTATCTCACTAATGTATTCCAACACTAATTACAGCCATCAACACTGAGTTGAGCATAGGTCAGTTCAGAGAAAAGAACAGGATTTGACTTCTCCCACGTAACTAGAGTCTACTGTGGCTGTAGTTGGCTGTGTATGTGTATGTGTATATGTGGCTGAACAACTCCCACAATCAGATGCTTATTTCACAGCAAATACTTTCTTTTTGTGAAACTGGTTTCCTTCAATGTTCATTGTGTACATTGTATTGAGCTGAATGATTAATGAATGGCCATATACCCAACTAATGAAACTGAAGAAGTTACATTGATTGGGTTATGAAAGAAATACAAAGAAATCAGTGCATTGTTCTGGGACTGCATTTCAAATAGAGAGACTTCTGTTGTTCATATATTCTCCACTATTTCCACTACCACAGTGGGTTTGATTTTAGACCCAAATTTACCTCAATATCCTATCATAAAAATAGCAACAGAAATAATTTCAAAATAAGCTTCTAATTTTACAACTACCAGTAATTGATTGTTGGTACATTTTTTCAGTCACCTAACAATGGATTCAAGCCTAATTGTCTCATCTGCTGGCACAAGTGACATTTTCTAAGTAGCAAGTTAGAGATCTACATTTTATTATTTGTATCCAAAACCAACTCCAAACAGAAGATGAAAGGTTCATTTAAAACCTTCATTTTTCATAACTGGTGTTTTCTAAAATTTCTTTTAATCTCAAGGAAAAAGATTAATTACAGGAAGATTAATCTCAAGGAAAAAACAGTAATTACAGTTTTCTTAGTCTGAAGACTTTCTGAATTCTAATTCCCCCTCTTTATGAACTGAACACAATATTGTTGTATCCAGGAAGATAAATAAGAAAATTGGGTAATAATATTGACTAAGACGCTGCATAAACATTGTTTAAAAGAAACTTTTATTAGGTACCTTAGCAGTTACACTGCTTTGGAAAACAAAAACTTAAATTATCAGAAAGATTCGTGTCATCTGAAGTGTCATATTTCTATGTAGTGTAAATGAGCCTATCCAAAATACAAAATTAATAAGCAATAACTTTTTTAGCCTACCTTATGTCTTCCACTCCTGCGTCAGCTAGATAAATCAGAAATGCTGAGAGAGCAGGGTTTGAGAGGGCTGTGTGTGTAGACCCCAAAGCAAGCAGAGTTATGCAACTTATCAGTAAACAAATCATTGGACTTTACTGATTACAACTTCCTCCTCCCTCCCCCTTAACCATTAGCAGCTCATTTGAACTGAACCAGATATTTTTCTCTTTCTGCATCTGGAAACCTACAGCTAAGTTATACCTGGATGTGTATAGCATATATAACAGGTTACCTTAACTAGTTCAAGGTCAGATTTTACTCAAGGCACATTTTAAGGCAGGATTTTGGCTGCTTTCCACTGTGCAAAAAGCACAACACAAAGTTCTACATTTGGCAAAACCAGGGTTACCATATTTCCAGTTCCAAAAAAGAGGATGCCTGTCAAGGGAATACCTTACTTCCAACCCACAGTCCCCTGGCCCTGCCAGTGTCCCTCACTCCCAACCTGCAGCCCCCCATCCCTAGTGCTACCCCACACTCCTGACCTACACACCCCTGGCCCTGCCACTGTCCCTCACTCCCAGTCCACAGTCCCTTGCCCCTCTGGGCTATGCTGGTGCCCCTCAGTCCCAACCTGCAGCCCTCTGGTGCTGCCAGTGCCCTGCACTCCTGACCCACAGCCCCCCGCACCTCCATTGCGGAGGAGGAGATGCCTGTAGCACCCCCCACCTCAGGCTGGGGCTCCTGCACCATGCCAGGCAGTCTGGCTATGCTCCCCCTGGGCAGCATGTCCCAGGTGCCCCACCCCTGTAAGCATGGGCACCAGCCCCTGGTACCACTAGCCCAGCCATGCAGCTCCCCACTGCCCCCACTGAAGGGCCAGGCACCTTCCCCCTGTCTCTGTGTCCTGCCACAGACTTCGCCCTGCCACCCACCCCCCCCCCCCCCCCCCCCAACAGTCCCCAGGCCCTGGCCCTCCAACCCCCGGTCTCCATAGACTTACCTGCATCCAGCAGCTGAAGCTGCTCCCACCACCCGTCCTGGCTGCGTGCTGGCCACATGTGTGTGCACACACACTTGCACATGGTGCCCCCTGCCTCCAGTCACCCTTCTCCTGCTCCCACTAGCAGAGCAGAGCAAAATACTGGACATTTGTTCAAATTTTAAAAAGCCACCCAGAAGGAGATCGGAGGACCCAAAAAGAGACATGTCCAGGAAAACCTGGACATATGGTTACCCCAGGCAAAACCAAATAAAGCATCATACCTCTGCTGAGTGCAGTGGTTCTTCTGGCACATGCACAGGCTGC